TTAAATTAAACTGCACCACAAAACCAAATAAATTAGTCAAATTTTTAAGCATTTCAAGATGAACAGAAAACAAGATTATGGAATTCGGAAGTGAAGCAGAAAAACAAAAAAAAATATAAATAAATTTTTAAATGCCTTCCAAATTGGAATTCATTTGCTTATCAAAGAAAAATTTAAATAATTTTTAGAGGTCAAGTTCGTTTTCAGAAGAGAAGCCACCACAAGACTTGATCGAGTTTAAGACATCAAAAAAAAATGAAACCAAAGATGACTTGAATATATAATTAGTTAATGTGCTTAAAAGTAATCAAATATTAGTTTATTTTTATGAATTTTTAGCCCTTTGTAGTCAACTTTCTATGCTCTTGATTCGCATCTTTGAGAATTTGTACTTTCAAATTACGAACTTTAAAAGGGCAACAAACTACTCACAGTTTCCCTTCCCTATTAAAGCCTCATTAGATTCGAAGCATTTGTTTTCCAAAGCTTTCTTTCAATGCCATTTGTAGAGGGAAAAAGTTAACAAAAGAAAAGCCTGACGACGCACATGCCAAAATTCGACACACAACAATGGCAAAACAGTCTTAACCCACTTTTGCTCTTAGCCACAATGTCTAAGCTTCACATGCAGGCAGCAATAACAAAAAAAAAACCAAGAAAAACTATGACTAAGTATTTTCTTTCAGATCATCATCGTTAACTTCATCATCATCATAAGCATTATTATTAATCATCATCATCATCATCTCATATCATTTTCGAAACTCATGACAAAAGTGTCAAATCAGACAGACAGACAAGCAGAATTACGTTGTTGTTTGCTACGCCCACATTGTGACCGCCTTTTTTGTTTTTACCTGGTGAAAATTCCAAAAGGAAAATGTATATGAACATATCTTTTTGGCAAGCTGAAAATGAGCCAGCGCAATGTTTATTTTCGTTTCCAAATTTTTAGTTTTTCTCGCTTTTGTTTTTGCCGTCTCATTTCGATTTTTCACACTTTAGCTGATGACAGATAGTGTTGATATATACTTGCGAGTAGAGGGTTAAAGGAGGGGGCAGGGCAGAAAGTTGTCAAAGTGGATTTTCAAATGTATCTGTATCTCGAGAATGAGTAATGGGAACAAAGATTGATCTTTTAGTTCTGTTTTTTCAGCTACTAAACCATAATTAAGAAAGGGGATTTAAGAAGTCTTTAGTTTAGAGCATCAAAATCCTTGATACTTAAACTATTTCGGTCAATTTTCATTAGCTTTAGCTGCATAGTTTTCCTCTCTTTTCTTGGATAATCCAGGCTGACATTGTCAACTTAAATGCAACTTGGGGTCATTGTAAAGTGAGAGCTGACAGGGCAGAAAGGGGGTTCCTATGCTGGCTTTGCCTTTTGACTGACAGTTTCAATTTGCACTAACTTCGAGAGTCCGAGAAAATGGTAGTGGATATTGGGCTAGAGGAAGGGTACACACTCTATGCCATGAAGGTGACGCCTTTCTTTGGGTATTAAGGTCAAAAAGCGTTAAACCAAAACAACAACAGACAAGGCAGCAGGTAAACTGAACCCAACTGAATTGAAAGAGGAGAAGAAGCTCCACCAAAAAAAAAAAAAAAAGGGCCAAACAGATTTGGTCTTTCTCTCTCCTTGCAACAACCGCAAAAAGCACAAAGCCATGAACAAGAACCAACTAAGAAAAAAAGGAAAATAGTAAGGGAATAGGAGGAGCCCTACAGGAGCTATAGAATCAGGTCAGGCCAACTTGGTGCAAAAATGTGCAATGCCGTAAAGGCCAAGCGAAAATAATTGGCCAAAAAAAGGCAAGGAGAGCTCAGAGGTAAGGGGTAAAAGGTAAAAAAAGAACAAACAAACAAAAAACAAACAAGATTTTGGCTTATGCACTTTTGGCTTTAATGAAAAGAAAGCCAAGTTACGAGACAGAAAGAGAGAGAGGGAGGGAGAGAGAGAGACGAACTCATAAAGAATCTGCAAAAGAGACGGCACTTCAATTCTTCTGCTGTCTTTGGTTCACCGTTATGTTGACCGCGTTACTTAACGGTACCATCGAACACCCCGGTGTGGTTCTCCAAAGGCCAAGTTGGAGGTTCTGGAAAACCGGTTTCATTTCGTCGTCGCCGTTGCCGTTGCCGTTGTCGCTTCTTCAACATTGACACCCATTTGAAGGCAATGTGTAGAAGAAGAAGAAGACAACGACCGGTTCTTCCGACTTCTTTCTTCGTGATGCGAATTCTTAATTGCAAATCTTCTCCTTTGGAGGCGCTCTTTTAGGTTCTTCAAGCTTTCCAAAATGAACGAACAAGCCAAGATTAAGTCTGCCAGATAAGCCAAGTTAATGAGTGGAGGTTTCTTGCTGGCCTGAAGGCAGAATTTGTCAATGTAGAGCAACTGCTGATGGTATCTGGCAGTTCACATGCTGGTTTTTAAGGTCTCAATTAATCAGCAACGAGGCTTGACAAAATAAACTACAAGAAGTACTGATTACCTTAGGGAAAAACTAAGCAGTTTGGAAGATAGAAAAGAAAGATAGACTCTACAAGCACATTTCTTTAGAAAATATCCAAAAGTAAGCATTTCCCAGATAAAAACAAAGAAATCTAATATCTTATTTCCCAAAAAATCATCTTAACTCCATCTATTACTATTTCTAAATCCAATTCTCTTTCCTAAACCAATTCGATTAATTTCGAAATCATCATTAACCGCGATTATCATTCATTATGACAGCTCAACAGTTTCTAAGTGAATGATGATCCATAATTCTTATGCAGATTGCAGACTGAAGCCGCCGCCATTCTAAGCCCATTTACATAATCGTGCTGCTGGCTGGCTGTGTCGGTCAACCGGAAATTGGCCAACAATAAAACATTTCAGATCGCTCGGCCGTTGCTTCCGTTTGATTACTGTTGGCTACTCACTTCTGCCTTTTTGGTTTTGGTTTTCTTTCTCTTTCTAGCGATACCAAACCAAGCTACAGTCCGTTTCATTTTATATAACAAAAACAAAAAAACAACAAAAATCTTTAACAAAAAAATGGAATTGGCTTCGCTGGCAATTAACAAAAAAAAAAAAAAAAATCAAACTGAAACCGAAAACCCAAATTGATTCTAATTAAAAAATAAAAATATTGTGAAATTTATGAAGCAAGGTTTTTAGCGAGGGTTGCTTGGTAAGTAAGCAAGCCGTAACTGTTGATTTCAACAAACCGCAATTATGACTGCAATGGTGTAATTTACTAATTACATCTTTTCCTACCATTAAGTTTAAGTCAACGATTGCCATGATTTGTAATTTGAGTTTAATTCATAAATCAATTTGATTTAGTTTGCTATTAACTCTTGCCAATAATTTGTTTTTAATTTAAACTGAAAACTTCCTGAAAACGTTTCATTAAAAACAAAAAACAAAGACTAAACTTTAGCTTATTTAAACATTTTTAATAGAATAACCATTGACAAAGGCACGTTTCTTGGTTGAGTTTTGGTTTGTTTACGATCTTGACATTTTCCATTCAGGTAAAACTTGCTATGGATTCTAATATCGTTGATATTTTTGTCAAACGCCTTTTCGAAGATGACTGACTAGACAAGACTAGTCTAGTTAATTAGTAAGTTAAATTGGCAGTTGGAATGGCGTATTTGTGTCTATTTTATGACGCGTTGACTGACTTCAAAACAAAGGTTATATAAGATTTTTATGGCTTTTTGATTATTATTTTTGTTGGTTGAGAAAAAAAAGCCAAATCTTGGAATAATACATTTCATTTTTTGATAAGTCCAAGTGACTAACTTTGACTTGATAAAAATGCTACAAATTCCTGCACAGGCCATCAAATCAAAAGCTGTCCAACTTGTTTTCAAAGTCAAGAAGATAAATTGCCAACTTGTTTTAAATAAAAATATAAAATTGAAGCTTTTGTTTTGGTTTCTGTTTATTATTTTTATGTCATCTTTTTTTTTTCTAACCACAACAATCCTTCAAAAAGCCGGTATCAGCCTTCGTGCTAAAACTCTTCTATTTTGCCTTTGCTTTTTATGCAAATTTATTATTCGATTTTAAGGCCTATTTCTATGTGCTGATTGAATTTTATTTTTCACCTATTTTGTAATGCAAATTAAGCTAAAGAAATTCAAACCAAATCAACCGATTTGGTTCAGGTTTAACTATAAATAGTGGCTGCTGCTGCTGCTGCGGCTGACTAAGTTGAATTTTCCAAAGCAAATAAATTTCGGATTTTAATAGGTTTCGAAAATAGGGTTGTGGTTTATAAATAATCCCAGAAAACAGAAAATAAAATATGGAAAAACTAATGCTAACGACAAGGTGTTTCTGTGTTATTTTGAAATATTTTTATATTAATTCCTATCAGCCATATACCCCATATCTGCCAGGGTATCTCTCCTATGACAAGACATTTCTTAGGCAATAATGTCCACCACAGTTGATGACTAACCTTAGGCCACCTCATGCATACCTTCATATATCTTGGCCATATTAATTGCTGATATATATCTGTATATATATATGTCCTTGAAAAATAGCATTTATGTTTAGCTGAGTATAATTTATGGCACTCTCTCGGTTGCAGAAACCATTGGGTATATGTATCTAAATTAGTTCACCTGGTTTTTGAGGATTCGCTGGCCTGTTCTCTGTTTATGGCCAGCCATTAATTGCCCAAACAAAATTCCACTTAGCCTCGTTTTAAGTTAAGTAAATACAATTTAATTGTTTATACTCACAGCCCAACCACACCCACTTTCTTTCTTTTTTTTTTGTTTGCCAATGACGCACAAAATTATATCACCGGCAATTGTTAATAAATAAGCCAATTTGAGTGGTTAATGTTTGGGAAAAGCAATCTGTGAAGAATTTTCAACTAGGAAATATACATCACCCAAGGTGGCAAAGAGGTTACGAGAGAGGGTTTTGGTTTTTGGAAAAGTGCAGAGATAGCCACCAAAGATTTCCCACCAAAGAAGTTACGTACATTGTCACCTACCTGCAACGAGAGAGAGAGAGAGAGAAGGAGAGGGAGTGTGAGAAATGGTTGTGGAAAATGCAATTTCAGATATGTTGACAAATAAATACGGTTAAGGACTTGAGATTTATAACTCTGGGAAACTTCTTCAAGCCAATAAATCTTTAAGCTTAGAAAAAAAAACTATAATAAATTAAGATTAATATTACTATGTGAAAGTTTCTTAATTGGTTGGGAACTCAACTACAGCCTCTTTCTTCCCAATTCATCATTCCCATTTTCCTTGCAATTTCCCTCTTTCTAACCAAAATATTCATCTTAAGCTCTTGAAATATTCATAGAACGCGGTGTAACATCTCAAAAGGCAACTTAAAATTTCCATTCAACTGAAAACAAAGGAAAACTTGTACATTTTCCTTAGCCAAAAAAATCTACAAAAAAACAAGAACAGTTCAAAGACCAAGTCGTCGGGTTTTTGAGCCCTAGCAGGTTGTCAACTTCAATTTCGTGGCTCTTCTCATAAATATTGACGCGAAAATTGTCGCTTGCGTTTTTGGCAACTGAATTGGAAAGAGTGAAGGAGAGAGAGGAGCTGCAGAGAGGGAATCCAGCTGGGTTATTAAAAAATTCATGGCTTGTAAAATGCTGAAAATCCGGGCAATGGAAAATTTAAAATGCCTATAAAGGGAACGCAGCAGCAGCAGCAGAGAGAGAGGGAGAGGAAGTCGAGATGAAAATTGGCCGGCAAAGCGGCTTATAGAACGGAGGAACAGAAACCAATGCCGCTTGCCCTGTGGCCTTTTCCGACCGCAATGTTGGCATAGTGGGTGGTTTCGGGCAAGGGAAAAGCCTTCAGAGAAGGTGGGAGAGGCTGCCCCAGAAGTGGGTTGTGGTCTGTGGGTTGTGCTCGGGAAAACATGGCTGCGTTTGACGTCCACTCGAAAATATCATTTACATATCCGCGGAGGAGTCGCCGTTCGCCGTAGCGCTCAGCGGGAAAATACATGAAAAGCTTTTAAATTTTTGATAGCCACCCGGCCCGGCCCGCTTTTCATCTCCAAAACAAAAAAAAAACCAAACCTTCGTGTGTTTTCCCGCTGATCCCTAGCACCCGTTTATCCTTTATCCTTTGATTTTTGGCATCAGTTTGGTTTGTTACACACTTTTTGCCAAATTAAATTTAATTTCCATGTTTGGAGGTCTTAATCATGTTAATATTTCATTTATAAAACCCTTTTTTGGCTTTCACCGAAAGTTAAATGATTTAATTTTTCATTTTTTTTAAATCATTTCATTTTCTTGTTTTTGAAACTGCAGCTTATGGTTGGATTTTTTTCTTTCTTTACTCTTAATTTAGCTTAATATCTTGTTTATATTTTCTTTTCTTTTTTTTTGCCCCTTTAGGCTAGAGAAGAGATGGGAAAGATAATGGAGGGGAAAAATGTTTGTGCAGGCGCACATCTGTGCACTTTTTGCCTTTGGTTTGTTTTGCTCTTTGGATCTCGCTGTGTTTTCCTTTGTTTTTTTTTGTTTATGTTTTAATTACGTTTTGGTGGTTGATTTATGTTTATGAAAAGGCAGGCGTGGGTGGAAAGAAAAACGATGAGGGGTAATTTTGATGGCCTTGAAAGGAAATTGGGTTATCAGAAGAGATTATAGAATATTATTCAAGGGAAAACTATAAGCAGTTAACAAAATCTATCAATTTACATCAATTTCCCTTTTAATACTTCCCCATAAATCCACCTTTTTAGCTTCTCCCATTGAAAACGCAGCTTTCTCACCTCATCATACCCCCCATCTTCCCCAAACAACAAACAACTTTCCTTTGTTCACCGATTTTTCCGATTCCCGTCAGTCCTGCAATGCGCTTTCCATTTGTTTGCAGATGATAAATGACCCTCATTCCCATGTCCCTTACTCCATACTATCCATCTCCCAAAGAGGACCAGCCATGGACATTCATGCATCTAACTAAGTAATATCTGTGTATCTATCTGGGCTATCTTTTGTCTATTGTTATTGCCTTTGAATATTGCCTCTATATATATATATATATATAGATATATAGTTACTTATATACATATCCATCTATGTATAATATGGCCATCGAACGCTTTTCGTAGTTGCCTGCAACTTGTCAGTTTCTCTACAAGACCATCAATTTATTTAGTTTTATTATCTGCACACGCAGTGCGGCGAGTCCATAGATGGCGTGTTGGTGGTGTTGCCAAAGCAAAGTTCTTTCTATATTGGCTAGGAGGTTCTTCTTTACTCTTTTTTTTTTTGCCTTGCTTTTGTTTACGCTGTGCACGCAATGCATAACATAGAAGAAGAAGAAGTAGAAAAAAAGTGGGAAAATTGTTTGTTGCAAGTGTTGTGGCCCTCTCGCCCCCTACTCCCCCTACCTTCAACCCAAAAAAAAAAATTGGAAGAAAGAAGAGAAAAAAAAAACAATGGAGTGGAAAAAAAAGGAATATCTTGACACTTTATCGTTAGCCAAAAACTAGCGCAGCGTAAACAAAAGACAAGCGATGGGCGAGCAGCTAAAAAAAACAACAACAACAAAGGCAGGAGGCAGGCACAACATGACACGAGGGGCGGTGGACAGAGCGAGGGCGGGTGCTAGGGGCAATGTAAGGTTTTGGCATTTTCGCGCTTGGCGTTAAATTCCCCTGACAGCTATAAAATTGCATTTTAGAGCAGCACAATACAGCAGTACAGTACATAGTACAGCAGCAGAGAAGTCAAAACCAAAAGTGGAAAAGGAAGTGGAAGTGGAAGGGAAAAAGGCACGCAGCAGCAGTAGCAGCAGATACAACAATGTATCTATGTATCTAATAAATAGTTATTGCCGAAATGCAACAACAAGGCGAAAGAAAGAACAAAATTGATATTCCCCCGAAAGCAAAAGTGCGACATCATTATATAAATTGTGCGGTGGCCAAAGTGAGCATCATATGTTTTCTATCTGTATCTATCAGATACACTCTGGATGGTGGGGTGGGTGGTTTGGCTTTCCTCTAAGTTTGAAGTGATTTCACACACATGTTTTCCCCAAAGCAAGTTTTCTGCCAACCCCACACCCCATCTTCCTACTCTGTCAACATGACCACAAAAATGTTTCACACAGCTGTGCTCGAAGGGAAGAAAATATATCCTGAGAGAACGCGGGGGAGTTTCTTCTCTTTTTGGTTATTTGTCATTGATGGAGAATATGGGCATCGAGGGAAATGGGAAATTCTGGTAGAGAGAACCAAACAAACAGAAACTCGTGTGCACGTGACACGGAAATCATATTTATCTGATGATAATGCACCCACCCAACCAACCGCCACTGGGAAAATTTATTCTAGCAACAAGCAAAAAGAGAGATCCGTCTCCAATAATCTTTTAATGTGCGGAAAATGCGTTTTCCATTGATTGAATATTTATAAGGTATTAAATACAGCTATTCGGGAATGTATTTTATATATCAATTTAAATTTATATAAAAGGAAATCCTTTATATAATGAGGTCATCTCGATAAATTAGTATGCATGACGCGCTGTTCTTTGGTTTAATAATTGCTTTTGTATCTCTTTCTTTAATTTTTTATTAAAACTTCATTGCCTTGAAGTCTATACCTCCCCCCCTTAACACTTGATAATGAAATTCCACAACTGTTTTCCAAACCCTCTTCGCTATTTGCTTCATTCCCCTGAGGTTTTCCATTTCAATATGCCTTACAGAAATTGATTCGATTGCAATCTCTGAGTGAGTGAATTTTTATGAGACATCATCAAGCTCTGTTCTGGGTTTCTATATCCTATATATATACTATATACCATATCCATACATTCCCGGTAGGCCTGCACTCCCTGCGATAACACTGCCACATGACACGTGTCCCTGCCACGTGTGTATGTCAGCTGCCTCCTTCTTTTACTCCCCCCTGAAAAAAAAGGGTTAGAAACTGTTGCCCGCCTCATTTTATTTTATTTAACTTCTATTTTTTTTTCTGTGGCAGCTTCTACTGCCTTTGTGGCACTTATGTTGAGATTACACGCTTGTCAGCGAAGGCGTTTTCGTCTGCAAAATCTGCGGGAAAAGGGTTTTTCTCGGCTGGAAAGTGGTTTCTTGGTGGTTGACTGATAAAATGAGCAATATGTTTGTGAGTTGCTGAAGTTAGATAAGTGGTGTACATATGAAAGGGACTACCCTTCGGCAAGTACTTTAGAAAGAATGAGTACTGGAAGATACTTGTCTTAATTGGTTAAAATATGTTTGTTGATTATTTTTCACTTTACGTATTAATATTCTATCTTTCTTTTTATACATTTTATATAAACATATTTTTGGTTCAAATTTATATATTTTTGGCAGCTCATTCAACTTTGCTCATCTTCGAAAAGTGTTAAAGTCCAACTTAGATGAACTCAACTTTTGGATTACACATTTTTCCAGCACAAATTGCCTCGACAAAGTTCTTCTTTTCGTTTTTTGCACATTTTTCTATATATATATTATATATATAGAGTTCCCTCTGAACGATTATGAATGCGAATGAAAATTTAGTCGGACAGTTTGGCAAAGGGAGCTGAGATAGTAGATGGACGCCCTGTTACAAAAGGCTCTCCTTGGGGCTACTAAACGGCTGATGAAGTGGATTCAATAGCAGGAGAAGGAGGAGGTGTAGGAGCAGGATCAGTAGGAGGAGCAGGATGAGGAGGAGGAGCAGCAGCAGCAGCAGGAACATGAGCAGAAAGAGGAGCAGCAGCAGCAGCAGAGGAAGGAGTAGTATCTTCCAGGCAGGCTTATAATTTGCTTAAATAATTTGTAAGTGCAAAGTTATGAATTGCTTGGATGAGCAGCAGCAGCTTTTGCTGAGGATTATAAACCCCACTTCTCCCTTTGATTTTTCACCCTCAAACCACTACTTGCTGGCCAAAAACAGTTTGCCATTTCCTCGGGAAATGCATTTTGCCGCAAATCGTTTTTCGCAATTCCCTCTAAAATTTGTTCGCCCGAACATAAAATG